CTGGACCATGTTCTGGACGACCCCCAAGCTGACGTTGCATGATCAGAAGTTCCACGACTACGAGGCTGTGTGCCGCAGTATTGAGCCATCGTGGTCGGATAAGAAGCATATCGTCGATTAAGAAAGAAGGCGAAGGAAATCTATAAACCTGTTGGAACAGGCTACAACCCAGATGATATGACACTGCCGTGAACCATGTGCGCTTAGTGTATGTGTAAGACCCCAGACATAGCAAGGAATTGGAGAACATAACTTGTTTTCGTCAGCTGGTAATTCATCTATGCGGGTGATGAGTGGTCGCGTGGCATCACTTAACAACAGCAATGTTGCATGTTTCTTTCTATGTCACCCAGTAACTGAAGCTGAATGGTGAATAGAACTTGCGACTAAGATATAGTTTGTTTACTCCTATTCCATATTCATCTGAGATATTGCGTCATTACCATTTGACATAAAGAACGATATGAGTCTTCTATCACTTATCGTTTCAAGCAAAATCCAAAAAAAAAAAACATACTTATATACGAGACTCAAAACTCATGCAGTACTCAAAGCAATGTAAACGAGACAGCTACTGTAGGATACCTGTAGATCGAGGTATGCGCCTTACTACGGCGATCTATTTTTGCTTGATGGCGGGGCGGTCAGGAGGAAATTTACAAGCCTGCAAGTTTTGACGTTATGACCCCACCATCCATCCATCTGCCATCAAACGATACCGACGGATAGCCAGGCAGGCAGCGATAACAGCTGAAGGCGGGGTGATAAGGGATGTTTGGCCCGGGAGGTAGGGGTGCTCCTAGTCATCGTCCCTGAGGGTGGGACGGACGACAAAAAAATTAGATAAAAAAGGAATAAAAAGGCTTTCGTTCGTCTCCATAAAAGCCAAGGTAGTGCTAGAGGTGTGGTAACAAGGGAGTCAGGGACGATGATTTGGCGACACACAGACGATTCATAGATAGGTCACGGAGTTTAATGTGCATATGAGAAAAAATATAGACTTCATGGATGAGGCTGGTAATTATAAGTTATTGGCTAAGATATACCTACTTTAGTAATAGTAGTTAGGCAGAAGGCAGGCAGGGCTGTACCTGAGACCAGTTAAAATCCGCATGCGTTGTGATTGGAATGTTTTGGATTTGTTTTCTTGCTGGCGGTTACGTGAAGTGAAGTCTCTAGAAGTTTCGCGCAGCAGCTACGACACGGCACACCCCGCCAAAGGGGGGCGTGTGGCTAAGGAGGGGTAAGCCGGGTGAGGCTAGACTACACGAGTTCGACCACAAATCTATCCCACCTGTCCCTCCCTCTCCCACCATATTAGGTACAGCAAGCCTGCCTACACCTACAGTGCGCATTTGGGCAGCTCTTTTTTTTCTTCCTTCCCTCCTACGCCATATTTAAGAGAATCGTCCTTTCTATCCTGCTGTGCCAGGTAGTCACTACACTAGAACCGTCCGATCGTGCTGCACAACGACTGGACATAGACCTTCCCCCGCCTTCCGATCTCTCCCTCACCGCCCGAGCCTGGCCTCTTCACGACTTGCTCTGTTTATTGCCGTCCTCTCTCCTCGCCTCTCGATCCCCTTACATCGGTTCCTAGCGCATTCTCGTACAACCAAGCCACCTCTAGTTGTTGCATCCGTCTAGGCAAGATGTCTGTCGTTGGTATGTCTCTCTCTCTCTCCTTGCCCGGCCCGTCCTGCGTCGAGCCCCTGTTTGTCCTCTGCCTACTGACGCTCGCGCTCTCTAGGTGTTGATTTCGGAACGCTCAACACGGTTATTGCCGTTGCGAGGAATCGAGGAGTCGATGTTGTATGTAATCCTTCTCTTCTGCTGCTTCATCTGCCATAGCCCTGTTCTTAAGGCTGACAAGTCACTTTTCGACTAGATCACCAATGAAGTCTCCAACCGTGCAACGCCGTAAGTGCTACCCCGCCTCGTTCACGATAGAGTCGTCACGCTAACGGCGCCATACAGTTCTCTCGTCGGCTTCGGCCCCAGAGCCCGCTACATAGGCGAGCCGGCCAAGACACAAGAAATCTCCAACCTCAAGAACACAGTCGGCTCTCTGAAGCGTCTTGCCGGGCGTGCCCTCCAAGACCCCGACGTCCAGATCGAGGCCCAGTTTGTCTCGGCCGCTCTCGCAGACTGCAATGGCCAGGTTGGTGCCGAGGTCTCGTACCAGGGCAAGAAGGAGAAGTTTACGGCTACCCAGCTTGTTGCCATGTTTCTCAGCAAGATTAAGGCGACTGCTGCTGCCGAGCTGAAGCTGCCCGTGGCTGATGTTGTTCTGAGTGTCCCACCGTGGTTCACCGACATCCAGCGACGGAGTATCCTCGACGCTGCTGAGATCGCCGGTCTCAAGCCGCTTCGCATCATGAATGACACGACGGCCGCTGCCTTGGGCTATGGTATTACCAAGCTGGATTTACCTTCAGCCGAGGAGAAGCCGCGCCGCGTTGTCTTCATTGATATCGGTCACAGCAACTACTCCGCCTCCATCGTCGAGTTCAAGAAGGGTGAGCTGACCGTCAAGTCTACTGCCTTCGACCGCCACTTCGGTGGTCGTGACTTCAACCTGGCCTTGGTCAACCACTTCCAGAAGGAGTTCAAGGGCAAGTACCGTATTGACATTGCCACCAACCCCAAGGCGTTGGCTCGTGTTGAGTCTGGGGCCGAGAAGTTGAAGAAGATATTGTCCGCCAACCAACAGGCTCCATTAAACATCGAGTCTTTGATGAACGATATCGATGTGAACGCTATGGTGACGCGTCAAGAATTCGAGGCCCTTGTGGAACCACTTTTGACCAAGGTCACGGCTCCATTAGAGCAGGCCCTTGCGGATGCTGGATTGACAAAGGATGACATCGATTTCATTGAACTCGTTGGTGGCAGCACTCGTGTTCCAGCTCTCAAGGAGAGAATTCAGGAATTCTTTGGCAAGACCCTATCCTTCACTCTCAACCAGGACGAGGCTATTGCTCGAGGTTGCGCCTTTGCTTGTGCTATATTATCGCCTGTCTTCAAGGTCCGCGACTTCTCCGTTTCTGATATTGTTCACTACCCGATCGAATTCCACTGGGAAAAAGATGTGGATATCCCCGATGAGGACACGAGCTTGACTGTTTTCGGCAGGGGCAATGTCCTGCCCTCCACTAAGATCCTCACCTTCTACCGAAAACAGCCTTTTGATCTAGAGGCCAGATACTCTGAGCCTAAAGACCTTCCGGGCAAAATATCCCCCTTCATTGGTCGTTTCTCAGTCAAGGGAGTCAAGGCAGACCCTAAGACCGAATTCATGATTTGCAAGTTGAAGGCAAGGGTCAATATCCACGGTATCTTGAATGTAGAAAGTGGTTATTACGTTGAAGATCAAGAAGTCGAGGAGGAGATTAAGGATGATAAGGATGGCGAGAAGAAAGATACTGATGTGAGTTTCCCCCCTACGCTAAATGCTTACACGTTGCGACTTTAGCGGCTACAAGATCCCCTAAACTAACTCAAATTTCACTGTAGGCCATGGAAACCGATGACAAGAAGGATGACAGCAAGCCGAAGACACGAAAGGTGAAGAAACAAGTTCGCAAGGGTGATCTACCTATTGTTGCTGGAACTACTTCTCTCGATGCGAACGCCAAGTCCAGCTTGTTCGAGAAGGAAGCAGCTATGATCATGGAAGATAAGCTTGTTGCGGACACAGAAGAGAAGAAGAATGAGCTCGAGACCTATATCTATGACATGCGGAATAAACTGGACGAACAGTATGCCGACTTCGCCAACGATGACGAGAAGGACAAGCTGAGAGCCAAGCTCACTGAGACCGAGGTAAGTTTCTCGCACTTTCCGCTATCTCGATGTGGTGTTGCTAACTTTGATTAGGATTGGCTCTATGAGGAGGGCGAGGACACCACCAAGGCTGTGTACATCTCCAAGATAGACGAGATCCGTTCTATGGCCGGTCCTATCACTCAGAGGTACTTCGACAAGGTAGAGGCCGACCGTCAGGCCCTGCAAGCCAAACTGGACGCCGAGGCGGCCGCGAAGAGGGCAGCACAGGAGGAGGAGCGTAAAGCATCGGAGCCAGAGAAGGGTGAGGGCAACAAAGATGAGGAGATGACGGATGCCGACACCGCCAAGCCCGAAGTCGAAGAGTCTCAGGCCTAGGGATTCAAAACTTCTCGACAGACGGGCTGGTATAGTGATGGGTCACCACGGTTTGATGACGGTTATTGGTTTTGAAGACGATTGGTAAAAGTAATGACTGCAACGGCACGGGCCCGGGATGGATATTTTAACGATGGCTCGGGGAGATTCCAGCTCTCATCCCGACCAAATTTTGCGAGATTGGGGTGTTAGAGATAGATTACGGCCGCTCCATTAGTACACGAGGCCGGCCGCAGAGTCGAGATAGACTTTTATCCGGATTCGGGTATGTTCATAAGTACGATTTTTTCTTTTGGGGAATACAATCATTCAGTATGAAATGAGATGCAATGTGAAGGTGTTTTATTTGGGTGATTGCTGTAGGATGACAATTATCTTGATGTACACCGCGCATCTGTTGGTTGGTAAGCACTTTACATGGCACAGACTGTAGCATCGGTAACAGATGATGAACATAATAAGTAGTCGTTTTCTATAGCCCAGAATTATCAACAAGAGAGAAATATGTTATAAGCTTCAAGTTGGAAGATGACAAAGTATAATCAAGCACCCACTAAGTAAGTGTCTTTAAGTTTAGGTGCCTTGCTTTACAATACGATACTCTCCGGCGAGCCAATCACCAACCAACGAACGGTTTTTTCATTCGACACAAAATTTCAAACCACACCACACACCCGACTGGTTAGTATTCGATGTCTAGCGGGCACAAACAAATCAAACAACCCACTCCAGTACTGCCCCTCCTTTCATCCCAACTTCTACCCACAAACCCGCCCCATATATAATACCCCTCTACAACACAAGAATCCAACCACCAGTGATCGTCAGGTCAACGGGGCCTCGTGGCCTAATGGCTAGGGCGCTAGATTTCGGTTCTTCCATCAAGATTCTCTAGAGATTGTCGGTTCGAGTCCGGCCGAGGTCGTCCACATTACTTTGCTTTACGTCCGAATTGGTGTAGTGGCTAACATATGACGCTCTCATGAAGTGCCGTCATGCCCGGGGTTCGATTCCCCGATTCGGAGTTTACTTTTGCTGTTTATGCTGTTTTTTTTTGTTTTTTTTTTCTTTCTTTTTCTCTCTCTTTTTAATTCCTTCCTGGACAGTGCTGCCTAAAAACATTTCCAGTTTTAATCTGAATTTTAGGTTGTATATTTATATCATGGTAGGTAGTAGGTATTAATTACATGGTAGAGCAGTTTATCGATAAACTTGATAACCCCCCATGTTGCTCGCTTAAGTTCTTATCGGTGAATTGGCTCGGACTTTTGGCATTGTCACTGGTGTCTGCGCCACTTTAACTTGTGCACTGCAGTGGATGATCGGCGGCCATGTGCTCAACCAGTATTTCACAAAATCAATTTTATCCACTGAATTGAACTGTGCAGCCAACTCCCCCGCAGCGTCATTAGTCGGCTAGCTAGCTGCCTGCGAGTCTCCCACATCGTCCGACGCCCTACCAAATACCATCACCAAATAACCCCCACCTCTTTACATCGTAGACCCTCTCTTTACCACCCAAACATCCAGTCAGAGACAGTGCACTGGAGGCTTTTTGTTTCCTAGTGTGCGTTCTCTTTTTTTTATTGCCTCTGCTCGGAGCTAAGCCTAACAACAAACGGGCAGGCAATGTCTCGGTGCTTCTCTAGGACATGATTCTAGACTAATACACATTTCTCGTGCCTACCTACTCTCGACCCGCCTCTCCTCGGTTGTCTACACATCGCACCCGTCACCCCACCTCGCCTCTTGTGGTAGGTGAACAGTGGATTTATTCCCCAGATACGACACGGCCGAAGACATAATCTTCTCACCTTCATTCAACTCGACTACCTCTTTGACTACCTCTTTCTCTACGCATCAAGAGACTGCTGTATCCTTTACACTGTCTAGTCACGGATCCAACACGTCCTCAAGATGCCGCCGAAAAAGAAGGGAGGAAAGAAGCAGGCTGACGATTGGGAGGCCGAGCTCGGTGAAAGCATTGCGCCCACGAATGGCGATGCCGCTCCCGCCGCCGACGCTCCGGCAGACGCGGCCGACCAGGGAGAAGATGACGATGCGCCCGTCGGCGGTCTGATGGCTATAAGGAAGAAGGCCATGGAGAGGCGCAAGAAGAAGGGTCTGTCTGAGAACTTCGTCGAAGGCTCGCAGCCCGCTACCCCAGAGCCCACCGACATCACCGAATTCAAACCACCCACAGAAACGAATGCCGAGGATGAATTTGCTCTGCCCGAGAAGGGAAAGAAAGGAGGGAAGCAGAACAAGAACCAAGCTGCTGCCAAAGCCCCCGCTGCTGCTGCTGCTGCCGATGAAGATGACGCTGGCGACGGCAGGATACTTACCAAGGCCGAAAAGGAGAAGTTGAAGAAAGAGAGAGAGAAGCAGAGGAAAAAGGAACAGGTTGGTGTTGTCCCACATCTCGATCGAGTTCGGGTTCTAACCTTTGCGTTCTCGTCTAGGCTACGAAGAAGAAAACCGGAGCGCCCGCACCTGCACCCGCTGCGAAGACTGCGGAGCCCGCCAAAGCCGCTGCTGAAGAGAAGACAGAGGCTCCGGCTCCGGCTCCCGTCGCAGAGGCTCCAGGAAAGAAAGGGAAAAAACTTCCACCCCATCTGGCAGCCATTCAGAAGCAACAAGAGGAATTACGGCGGCAACGCGAACAAGCTGAACAAGCCGCCGAAAGTGAGAAGGCTCGCTTAGTAGAGCTAGAGAGACTGGACGTCGAAGAACAGAAGCGAAAGGAAGAAGAGAGGGCTCGAAAAAAGCAGAAAGAAAAGGAGAGGATTGAGCAGCTGAAGAAGGAAGGAAAGTATATGACTAAGGCTCAGAAGGAAGAGAAGGCGCGCAATGAGAGGAAGCTTCAGCAAATGATTCAAGCTGGTCTCCAGGTTGGACCATCAGAAGACGGCGAGGAAAAGAAGAAGAAGGCTACCTACGACAAGAAGCGGGGCAAGAAGAATGATCAAAAGGTTGCCTCCCTGTCCTGTAGCTTACCGGAGTGTTGCTTTTGCTAATCTTTCATAGGTGGATGAAGAGAAACTCTTAGCAGAAGCCGCCGAGCGGGCAAGATTGCAAGCTGAAGCTGCAGCCAAGGAGGCCGAAGAGAAGGCCGCTGCTGAGGCCGCCAAGCAAAAGGAAGCCGAAGAAGCTGCTAAGAAGGCTCAGGCAGACGAAGAGATCGAGGACGATTGGGAGGCAGCCGCAGCCTCAGATGCCGATGTAAAGGACAGCTGGGACGCCGATTCAGATGAAGAGGCAGGTAAGAAAGACGCGGCAAAGCAGTCGGCCAAAGGATTACCTTCACGACCCAAGGCCAAGGAATCCGAGTCGGAATCTGAATCAGAAGAGGAATCTTCCGAAGATGAAGAGGTGACAGCTGCTCGAGCTGCCGCTGCCCAGCGTAAAAGGGAGGCTGCTGTACGGAGAGAAAAGGCTCACCAGGCTGCTCTGGCCGCGCGATCAAAGGAAAATCTTCGCAGCCCTATCTGCTGTATTCTGGGTCACGTCGATACAGGAAAGACAAAACTGCTGGACAAGATTCGACAAACAAACGTCCAAGAAGGAGAAGCCGGTGGTATTACACAGCAGATCGGTGCTACATACTTCCCAGGTTCGTTCCAGTGTCTTTCTACGCTTAAGGGCTTGCAATTAATTCTCTTCTAGGTGAGGCTATTAAGCAGAAGACTGCCGTCGTTAACCAGGATGGAAAGTTTGAACTCAAGGTCCCGGGTCTTTTGATTATCGACACACCTGGTCACGAGTCTTTCTCCAACTTGCGTTCTCGTGGTTCCTCACTTTGCAACATTGCCATTCTAGTCGTCGATATCATGCACGGTCTCGAGCCTCAGACCCTGGAGTCTATGAAGTTGCTTCGTGACCGAAAGACACCCTTCATCGTCGCCCTCAACAAGATTGATCGTTTGTATGGTTGGAAGAAGGTTGACAACAATGGGTTCCAGGAGAGTTTGGCTCTTCAAAGCCGAGGTGTACAGAACGAATTCAAGAATCGATTGGAACAGACCAAGCTCGCCTTTTCCGAACAAGGTTTCAACGCTGAAGTTTTCTACGAGAACAAGTCCATGGCGCGTTACGTCTCATTGGTTCCAACTTCTGCCCACACTGGAGAAGGTATCCCAGATATGTTGAAGCTCATTTTACAGTTGACCCAAGAACGCATGGTCGGTTCGCTTATGTATCTGTCAGAGGTGCAAGCTACCGTTCTCGAAGTAAAGGCTATCGAGGGTTTCGGTATGACCATTGATGTCATCCTGTCCAACGGTATTCTTCGAGAAGGAGATCGAATAGTAGTGTGTGGTGTCGAAGGAGCCATCACTACGAATATTCGAGCACTGCTTACTCCGGCAGTCATGAAAGAGTTGCGTGTCAAATCACAATATGTGCACAATAAGGAGGTGAAGGCAGCCATGGGTGTTAAGATTAGTGCACCCGGTCTCGAAGGCGCAATTGCTGGTTCTCGATTGCTTGTTGTCGGACCTGATGATGACGAAGAGGATCTGGAAGAAGAGGTTGAAGCAGATCTGAACAAACTGTTCAGCCGTGTGTCTACGTCGGGACGTGGTGTCAGTGTGCAAGCGTCAACCCTTGGTTCGCTCGAAGCTCTTCTCGATTTCTTGAAGGATTGCAAGATTCCCGTGGCTAACGTCGGTATCGGGCCTGTATTCAAGCGTGACGTGATGCAGTGTGGTACCATGTTGGAGAAGAGTCCCGACTACGCTGTCATGCTCTGTTTCGATGTCAAGGTCGACAAGGAAGCCCAGGCCTACGCCGAGGAGAACGGAATCAAGATCTTCACTGCCGATATTATCTACCATCTGTTCGACTCCTTCACGAAGCACATGGAAGAGCAACTCGAGAAGAAGAAGGAAGAGTCGAAGCTGCTCGCCGTCTTCCCCTGCGTCCTTAACGTTGTGGCGGTATTCAACAAGACGAACCCTATTGTCGTGGGTGTTGATGTGATAGATGGTAACCTCCGAGTCGGTACACCTATAGCCGCCGTGAAACAGAATGCCGCAGGCGCTAAGGAAGTTATCAGCATAGGCCGAGTGTAAGTTTGTCTCTTATGACACGCCTTGACGCCCTGAAACTAACGAATTGTATAGATCATCCATTGAGAGAGATCACAAGCAGATCCCCATCTGCAAAAAGGGACAGCCCTCGGTAGCGGTCAAGATCGAGATGGGCGGCCACCAGCCGACCTACGGCCGACAACTGGAAGAGCCCGACAATCTGTACAGTCTCATCTCGCGCGCCAGCATCGACTGTCTGAAGGAATTCTACAGGAAAGATGTCACGAACGACGAGTGGGCTCTTATCATCAAGCTCAAGTCCCTGTTCGATATTAACTAGGTAACTGAAATGTAGGCACTGAGTAGTAAAAGCATGGCTGGGTAGGTAGCTATAGCGATAATGGTTTTAGCGGTCTAGTTTCCTGTCCTGAAGGTTGTATTGCTATGATTATGGCTATGGCTACGGTTACCTTTGAGCTATGTCCGGAGCTTACTTTGATGAGACTTACCTGATCTTGATGAGACCTGCCTCGATGTGTTCAGACCACAACAAAACACAATACATGTATTTATGATATGAGCGGATGAATGATTGATTGACAGGGATAAAAATGATATGGACGGGGTGGTTTTGGTGCGGATAGTTTTTAGTTTTAATTGAATTTGTGCATGCATTCACATGGGTTACACAGCATACAACTTACTAGTTGTGACTTATTAACTACGATTTACCAACTACACTACACTTACATTTATTTGGGTTACCTTTAGTTTAAACGTTCCGGGTGACTTTTGATTGACTTCTGTTTAACTGTCCTGGTTGCTTTTCATTGACGTAATGCACGTATTGGGTAAGTAAGTATAGGGGTAGATAAATAATAGGAGGTTAATTGAG